CCTCCTCCTAAAGACCCCCAGGGTGGGAGCCAGCACCACTTCTCTTGGAAGCTGGTTCCAGATCCTAGCCACCCTGACAGTGAAGTAGCACCTCCTGATATCTAGCCTAAATCTACCCTCTGCCAGTTTGTGACTGTTATTTCTAGTCATTCCTGGTAGTGCTCAGGGGAACAGGGACTCCTCCAATGCCTGCTGGTCCCCCCTGACTAGTTTGATACCCCATCAGCCTTTTCTTGTGGAGGCTGAACAGGTTCAGGTCCCTCAGCCTCTCCCCTAAGGCCTGCTCTGCTGCCCCCGATCATGCGAGTGGCCCCCCTCTGGACCCTCTCCATGCTGTCCACATCCCTCTTGAAGTGCGGCACCCAGAACTGGATGCAGTACTCCAACTGCGGCCTGACCAGTGTCACATAGAGGGGGAGGATCACCTCCTTGGCCCTGTTATCCCTTAATCCATTCCCTCCCTCCACAATTACTACCCTCCCCTCCATTTTCTCTCCTCTCCTTTTCCACTGGGAGCTTAAAAAGGAGAGAAAAGGAGGGGAATGCTTATTTTCTAATTTTCAGAGACCAGAAAATAATTTCCAGTTTCATTCAAACTAGAAAATTCCATGAACATTTTTAAAAGTTGATAGTGTATTTTTGTCGTATGAAGGAACTGATTTTTGCAGCACTTTTCCACTATCCTATCACCAGGTCTCCAGAACTCTATGAGTCAGGGTTTCAGCCCTTTAATGGAACACTTGTCCATAACTAATGAGCTCTGGATCTGGCCCAGAATCTGGTGGGTTTTTTATGAGCACTGAAGTAATGTTTTAAAGGAGTATATTTTTTAAAAGGCTGCTTTTGGCATTTTATAACTAAAGGCCTGAAGAAGACCACTGTGATATCCAACAGCTTGCCTCTGTCTACACCAACCATACTGTTGGTCCAATCATCCACGGCTAGAATTCTTGCCAAAAGTATCAAAATTACCAATCTGGACCCTATGATAGAGGCTTCATTATGAAGCTGTTGAGTAGTTGTCATTATCCCTATTCTTTTTAACACAATTTCTCTTCCTCCCTAGGTACAGATGAAGAGAGAATAGCACTCGAGACTGCCCTAATGTATGGTGTTAAAAAGGAGGCTACGCAGGATAGTGTGCATCTGCCACAGTCTGATGTTGACATGGACTTTGAAGTGGAACATGCTGTACTCGGCAGTGACTTCAAAGTCACCATAACCTTCAGAAACAATGGCCAAAGTCGTCACACTGCAACAGCTTACCTTTCCGGCAACATCGTGTTTTATACAGGAGTCGCGAAGAATGAATTCAAGAGCCAGTCTTTTGATGTGATACTGGAACCCTTTTCATGTAAGATGTAAGGGGGGAAGAGGGGATGGGGACATTTTCCAGCCTAAGCTGGTTGTTTGCTATCTTACCGATGTCAGTACCACCACCAAAATAAACTCTCTCCATAAATAGGCCCCAAGCAGGTAATCGGGTGTGGTGCACTGGAGTGGAAGTCAGGCTTCTTAGCTCCCTGGCTTCAGGATACCTAGACTCCATCTCTGGCTACACAACTGACTTGAGTAAACTGTTGATTCACCATGTGTAAAATGGGGGTGATGATACCTATCTACATTGAGTCTTGGAGATGGAAAGTGTTCCTTTGTTCAGTGCTAAGTAATATGATTTAGTTAAAAAAAAAAGAGAGAGAATGGCTGCAAGTGCTAAGCTATTTTGACCTTCTTTCAGTATCCCAAAAGGGGAAGAGACCATTGTGATTCTTCAGGTGTAAGTTACAATAATAAGATTAAAGTAAAATCCTACTCTTATCTGATTCATACAAGGAAGAGGAAGAGAAGGGTGTCAGACACACATCTGATATAAAAACCATCCTGCAGTGACTGGGTAAGATGGCTCTGGACAGACTCAGAATGTATCACTGAGTAGATGTTTAGGGTAGTTTATAAAGGAGCAGTGGACGGCCCTGGATGGAGCATGTTGCTGACTGCAGCATATGTGCTAGTCAGCTGAACCACTCTCTAGCAGAGATACCAGGAACCTTTGAGACATTGCATGCTGATCCGACTGCTGCCAGTCTCTTCTTGTTTAATCCTCTTTGAACTGTTAGGGAAAGACCTTATCCCACTTTCCTGCAGTAAGAGAAGGTACCTGTAATCTGTCCTCCACAGCTCAGGGCGGGATACCCCCTCCCCCATCCCAATTATATGTTTTTATTTGGACCTGGTGAATCTCCTTTAAGAAGTAGCCCATTTTAAGAAGAACTAGAGATCAAATGTTTAATTTTAATGCCCATCTAATATGAGTATCCAACAGCGATCTCTTGGTACTCATCTAATTCATCTGCGAGTCTTTGGTAAGGGTAAATGTGCTTTTTCTTTATCCCACTATTCTAGCTCATCACAACACGCAACATTTTTAAATGCCTGGGATCAGTTATTAAATAGCTGATGTAACATTCCGCAAAACTTTAAAAAATACTTGGATAGATAATAAAAAAGATTTGTTTCAGTTGCACAAACTAAATTCTATATTTGTTCTGACTGCACTGCTATGACTTGGAGAAGAATTTGACCATCATTTAAAAATTGAGGGCATATGTGTAAATATCTAGCACTCCCTCCTCATTTGTTTTCCAGGCTTAATTCCAGAGGGTTAAATTCATTCTTGTGCTGAAGTTTTCTGCAAGGTACTATGACACTGCTTAACAGAGCTTATATACCACACAGGGGCTTGTTTGGGTACTCTGCATTTAAGTGACTTAACAGGATGCAATTTTAGCCACATGGAAAGCTCTGGCCATGAAATGGGCTCATAAATTCCAAATTATAGTGATCTGGTGATAAGTGACTATAGAGTTGGCCTCTGTCTAGGATAAGGTGAGGGAAGGAAAATCAACTAAATATATTTTTACAGGAATATGAACACTGTGTTGCAAGTCTAGTTCCACAGCAAGAAACTTCTTCACATATATATTTGTTTCTTTTTTTTTGGAGCTAATAGAATATTACAGTATGATCAAGATGTGTCAGAAGCATTTTTTCTAGACTGCACCATTTGAAAGAGAGGAGCAAAATAAGTTTTCAAACAGGAACCGAATGCGTGATTTTCAGAATAATGATTAAAGGAATTGTGTGGGTTGAAAACATCTTTGAGGATTTGAATAGCTTAAACCTTCCTGAGCCTTCAAAGGTGTTATCACTTCTACTCTGTTATATTTAGTTTTCTCTATTTTTTGATTAGGAGGGTAGGCAGCTCAGCCTTGTGTCTCCCTTGGCTTTCCCAGGCACAGTAAGTGATACTGGCAGCTTACCAGCACAGCCCCTATAAAAGTGGGATTCTATTACTCTTGTTTTCCCTTGTGATTAAATCCCATCTGATATGCCTCTTCTCTCTCTTTTACTGTAGAATAATCTTCACTTACAATGCAACTAGTATTTTTTGAGTAGATGAAAAACATTTATTTTAAGATTTGGGGTCTGATGGGAAATTCCTTTTCAGGAAACAGGGCCACATCAAGTAAGTTCAAGGCGTACCTGGTAAATCCATGCCAGGTGGTCACCATGGGAATAGCTTTGAAACCAAATTAAGGAACCTGTTTTGATGTGGGTGGATCAAAAGAATAGAAAGGAGTGAATGTGCTTTACCCAGATGAGTTTAATTAGTGGGAGTTTGTACAGTATGTGGCACAAATACAGTAAAAAAAAAAGACTAATAGAAGAGAGATTTCAAGATTTCATTTGGGTTGTAAAACCTAAGGTAGGATTTATTTTATCTCTAAGCTCCCGTGCAATAGTGTCGACAGGGCTAGAACCAATAACTGGCAATTTATATTGGGCTCAGGCTTCAATTTAATTTTTTCCTTGTTTGTTTTTCCTTCTATCAGCAAAAGTGGTAGAGGTTTTAATCAGATCAAGCGACTACATCAATCAGCTGCTGGACCAGGCCTCTTTGCATTTCTTCGTCACAGCACGTCTCAATGAAACAAAAAAGATTTTGGCCAAGCAGAAGACTTCGGTCCTAGACATCCCCAAGCTGCACCTCAAGGTTTGTTTCAGGAATATAACAGAGGAGATCAATACCTATCCTCCATGCAAGATGTGTTTTGCAGTTCTGGCCCTTACATCCTCATTTCAAACATTTTCAAAACTAATACAGAATTAGAAGCAGCTGGAAACATGAGTGTGTGTGTGTTTATGTGCATATGTGTACATAAGTACTTAAGTATGCATGCATGTTCAGATAGTAATAGGCATAAATATGTAAATGGAGTTGCTAGCACCACCCATAGGCAAAGCTGCCCGATACTTTTCAGTATGAGACAGTGGTCACCAACCATTGGATTGTGATCTACCAGTAGATCTCGGAGCGTCTTGGAGTTGATCTGAGGCTGAGGTGCAGGGCTGAGTGCCCGTGTGCATGCACTTGTGTGCCCCAGCCCAGCAGGTCAGTCCGTGGGGGAGGGAAGGAGCGGGGGTTAGATCGAGGCCCCCATGGTCAGGGACAGTACTGCAAAGGCAGGAGCAGGGGTAAGTTGAATGGGGCCCCAGCTGGGTGGGACTTAACTGCTAGGGAGGCTCGCCCCCAAATAATTTTTTCTCCATCTGCCCCCACCTTTTCCCTCCCCATAAACTTACCTGCTGGGCAGGGGCGGGTAGGCGGGAAGGGCAGCAGTGCACAGTAGGTCTTGGGTTGCTTTTAAATGCCAAAGGTATAAGAGCTTGTTTTCATTTGCTCATAGTTTTGCCAAACTTTTACCATTTAAGCTGAAATTTTCTATGCTAGGTGTCTGCCTCAGGCTGAATTTCTTTGGAAAATCTCTGCACAAATTCCAAGAATGAGATTAGGGAAAAATGTATTGTTTTACCATCTCCAAAGACTCCAACAGTTGTTTCGTTAAGGATTGTTAAGGTCTCCATGCTTCAGAGCAAGAATCTGGATACTTATCAAGAAGATTACCTTAGTGCTAAGGATAAACCTCTTGCTCTCTCCGTGGCAATTCACCCACACTGGCAAAGTTATGAGCCTCTGAGACAGCCCAGTTTGCCCATGTTCAACAGCAACATGCCAGAGTCTTGGCAGTTCTGTTCTTTCTGTATTGATCAGGATCCAGTGTAGAACTGCAGTGGTTAAGCTCAAATTGTTCCTCTCAGTGTCTAGGAGCCACCAGGGCACTGGGCAGCAGCAGTGAGGTCAGGGTCTGTCTCTCCTGTGACCTCAAGCCATCTGTTCCCCCATTAACATCATTCAGTAAAGAGGAAAAGGGAATTCCAGAGGAAAAAGGAAGATTACAGAAGGGGGATAAGAACAGAAGGAGGTATCTGGTGACTAAAATGCTGAGGCAGAGGGGAGGCAGGGTGTGAAGGAAGTATGGTTAGAGCAAAGGAGGGAAGAAGCAGGCGCTATGGGGAGAATGTAGTGGATGAGAGAGACGGTGAAGCTTTACTGTGGAGCTAATTAGTCTGTTCTGCAGTAAAGCACACATGTAGACACACCCAGTGATGATCAAAATCTACCCTGAATTATGCCCCGGTGGTGCCAAGGATACCTTTGAGATATCTTGATCATATTTGCAGCAGTACATTATTTCTTTAAATAAAAGCCTCGGCTTTTTACCATATAATCAATTTTTTTTTCTCTGAGGGAAGAGTTGCATATCTCTACCCTTATTTCTTTCCCAATCTTATATAGGAAGGTGCTTGGCTGTTGGCTGAATTTGATTATAATCTGATTATGCTACCACAATCTGAATTTCTGTTTTCTAACTGTTAAATCAGAAGACAGTGGAATATTCTGTCTAGGAAGGTCTCTTTTATCCTGATGATTGTAAGGTGGTGGTATTGGAGCTATGAGGACAAAAGCTTGGATGATTCTGACAGCACTGGAACCCTCAGGTTGATGGTCAAAAGACAGGAAAATAAGGACCAATATTAGATTTCTAATTTCACATGTTGGCACCTAAGTTAAATGTCTTAATTTAAAAAAAATGCTGAGCGCTCATCAGCTCCCTGAAGTCATCTTCAAATTGCTCGGCACTTTTGAAAATCAGGTCACTTGCTTAGGATGCTTAACTATGAATGCAGCTCCTTAAAGTTCAGCTGCTTTAAATAAAAACCTTGGCTTATATGTCTTCATTTTTCCTGTATATGTTTTGTGTGTGTGTGTGTGTCTGAAGAAATTTTCAAGTTTCCAGGTATCACCTTATATTTTAAGACTACATATTTTAAAATAACCTCCAAAGTTACCCAGGCTCATCAAATCATAGGTATTACCATACAAAACCACATAGCTGCTGGGAAAAAAAAGAGAGTAGGTATAAAACACTGCATGCTCAAAATCCTGTGAAATTCACAGAAAATCAGTTTGCTCTCACGGAATACAAAATTGTCATTCCAATCAAATTATAAATGTAAATAGGTATTGTCTTCATATAAGGTTTTTTGTCTTACAGATCATTCCACAGAGGAAGCCAATAAGGCAAATCAGCTTCACATCAAACGTATCTTCCAAATATTAAATGTAACCAAATATTAAAGATATTTAATCCTTTAGATTCAGTATTGAAACAGAGCATCCTATACACTATCCCCAGATGAACCTCCAAAATAGTTTATCCTTTCTCTTCAGTTATGAAGAAAGACTATTTAATGAAAAGGAGAAATATTTGCTCAATAGACACTTCTGTAAATAATAAAAGTTTAAAGATGGGCTGCAAAGAGCTAAAGAAAACCCAAAAAGTGGGTTTCTACTTTTTGTCTCTGTGATATAGTAAGATGTTTCTGTTTTAGTTGAGGAAAAGACTAGTAACTCTGCTTGCTTTTATCTGAAAATGTAATGACTCTCAAGTCTGTTCTTCTCTACTTAAAAAGTCCTATACTGATTCTTAGTTAAAAGGAAAGAATACAAAAATTGTACACCCCTCCTATCTTCAGATCAGCTGTTGATCTTTCCTCATCTGATTAAAAAAAATACTAGAGTTATCAATTAATGGGAAATTATACCTTCCTCAAATTTAGCTTAAGATCAGGTTACAGTAATAAGTACACTAAAGTAAATGCATACTTTCTGCTACACTTAAATAAACTGAGAATAATTTTAAAATCCTTTGGAGGTAATGCCTATGATTAAAAGCCCCTATGAGGGCTAGGCACAAATTTCTGTTACAAGCAATGTAAGATGAACACCTAAACAGATTAGGTGCCTTAAAAAACTCCACTGGGAACCTATCTGCAACTTTGGGTACCTAAATTATTTTAAAGTTGTAGTCCTTAAATGCCTTATCCTATTCCATTCAAGTCAATGGAAACTTGACTCCCAGTGAACGTGAGATCAAGCCATACATGCGGATATTGGGATATGGCTATAGTGATCTCTTAGATCATTAGATTGTAGATTTAAAAACAAAATACTACTACCTAGAACTGGTCAGAAAGAGGGGGGGGGGTTTCTTTCAGAACTTTTTCATTGAAAAGGCAAATTCTTGTGTTTTGATTATTTTGGATGAAAACCTGGGGTTTAAATTTTGAGGTTTTCAATAAAAACAGTCTTCTCTCCTAAAAAAAGAAGGATATAATAATTTTTTGAACCAGCTCTATTATTGATGTACATTTGAGGGTACAGAAGAGTAGTTTCAGCTTTGCACCACTGCAAATGCAGATGTTAATGGTATTGTTGCTCATTAACTCCACAGTTTTATACTGGCCAAAGTAAAACATGTTGTTCACCAAAGTGTAAAATTTTTCTTTTTACCTCATCTGCAGTCTGCTGCATCCATTTTCTGGTCTTGCATGCCAGGGTTTTTGAGGATATCTAAATAGGTTTACATAGAGCAGTAAATTCTCCTCTGAACTTCAAAGATGAGTGCAAGAGAATGAAAAGCTGTGCACAACACCTTGGAGAATTGCAAACAACACCAACCTGTGTTCCTATTTATGGCATAAAAATATGTTTCCCATTCCCATGGTGTACTCTGGAGTGCCTGAGCACTTGGACCCTGCTGCACTAGGAAGGGTTCTGCTGGAACAAGCCAACTCTCTAATGCTCTCCCAAATCCAGAATGGTTCAAGTGAGGCCCTCTGTGGAATCTAAGTGGTACACCTCCATTCCCTCCATGCCATGTGTACTTAGGCTAACACTGCAGAAAGGAGCCACCCAGAGACTCCAGCCATAAAAGCAGCTGTAGAAGCAGCCAGATCAGGGATGTTGGGTCATTCCAAGAGCTTTCTACAGCTCTGATGGGATTTCCTCTGCCTTATGCTTGCTCCAATTGTCTACCAGGCTCTTCACCTCAGATTCTCTCCCCTCCTTCCCGCACGTATCCCTTTCTCTCTTGCCCTGTCCTATTACCCCCATTCTCTGTGTTTCTCATCAAGGTGATCTCTGAGCTCAATCATTCCAAATATTGTAGGAGTAACATACTGTTGGTTGCTATCATGCTCTTCAGTGTGCCAGGTGTCGTTGCCCTCACAGTGTGTCTGTCTTGTCTATTTTGTAGTGCATACTGCATAGCCACTTCAGAGCGCAGAATTTCTGCTACTATGTCTGTACAGAAACATGTTATTCTTGGTTGGTTCTTAGGCACTATGGTGATAAACCTGTTTGATAGTAAAAAAGGGACTACATAAGCAGCAGTAGGGACAGGAGATGAGGGGCATGAAAGGGACATTTTATCCCTAGCAGCACCTTCATTCTCCTAGGAATACCAGGAACTAGAACAAGAAGAGAGCATGAGCATGGTGTAGGATCTATTACTCCAACTCTACTCTACCTGGGGATGACCCCTTTATACTCCTGGAAACTGGGTAAGCTAGCTTGATCATTGCCCAGCAGACCTGAAACTTGGATCTAAAGGAGATAAATCTCTTCTAGAGCCAGCATCCATGTTTACATTAACCCATCCTGCTGGCCCAGTTTACAACCAGGAATATTCTGTGTGTGCAGTCCTAACAAACCTGTTGGTGGGGTCATGACAGTGTAGTTGTTTTTGGGTTGTGCAGTTGTAAGCAGGTTGTGTTTAAAACTTTAGAAAGAGTTAAGCTATTTTTTCACTGAAAAAAAATTAAAAATCCTAAAACAAAAACCTAGTAAACCAAACCATACCCCTCATCCTTTACCTTTCAGGCCTATCAGCTGAGATTCTAAGGATGTCCAATAATGATTCTCAGCTAGGGTGCCTTAAGATCTCTTCAAGGGTGCTGCACTTTAGTTGTGCAAACATGATTCACAAGCAGTTTCAAATAGGAATACATAGCATTAAAAGCATTCTGACCTGTTGTGGTCTTTCTGAGTTGTCTGCAACAGAAGAATTGCTCTATTATTTTTTGGAGAAAAACAAATGATTGAAATCTAAGTGCTGACATTTTCTGAGGGTGCCTTGAGCCAAATGAGAGGTGCCTTGCTAGATGCTAGATGACATGCTAATGCACAGTAGAATTAGTCTACTGCACATTCAGCTTCTCATGAAGACATACCCAGAGTCATCTAAAACCACTTAGCTGCCATCTTAGATCTGTACTGATGGAGAATTTCAGCTATAGAAGGAAAAGCTGCACATCTTTCATCAAGAGAAAAAATAGAAGAGGAAAGGATATACTAAGAACAGTCTGCCAATTTTCTCTTCAAAACAGTGAGCTGTTTGTTTACAGGATCCATGCATTTAAATTACTCCTGGGCATTTGCCTTGAGCCTAAAGAGGCTGAGAACTAGTGCACTACAAGGTGTCCTGAGAATCTGTCACTTAAGGGAAGAAGGGTATGGACTTTGTTTCACATGTGATATATTCAAAGGTGCCCTCCACAATTCAGGCCTGGCTAGAAGTAGAACCTGAGAAGTTACAGAGGTCAAAACTAAATCTGTTTCAGTCTGGGAGCCAACTAACTGGAAGTTGTAGTGATGAGAACCTGAATAGGTTGCAATCTAGAATAGGTTGCGATCTAGAAGGCTTCTTTCTGTTCAGTAGCTTCAGTGAAATATCACCTTCGCATTTATAACAATCAAGAGTCCATCCTATTCAGAATATGTATGTCTTTCCTTTCCCTTGCAGTATTTTAATACATAGACCCAGCAATGGAGTGAGCTTGCTGAGTGCCCATGGGGAAGGGTAGGAGGTATGCTGACCACTGTAAACCAGGGGGTGGGGGGCATGGGTATGTGGAAGGGAAGGCTTACCTTCCTGAGCTAATATTGTTGTTGCAGCATCAGTTCACCAAATGGCAGAAGCCTCATGGCTGAGTTTCCTCAGAAGTGACCCTGGTGTCCAATTTGCTCTTCCCCGCCCCCCAAATACACACATATTGAAAGCAGGGCTGTGCTTTTTTGGCAGAACCTCTCTGACAGGTGTGGGCAGCACCACTACATTCACCCCACTCTCACCCCCTCCTGCTCCCCCTCAGACATGCTGCTTGATGTGGCATTGTCCTGCCTGGCTCCCATGGCCGGGCAGCGCAGTGTAGGGTTGCCCCTATGGCAAAAACTGTCAGGGGGTGATCCTTGTGCACACTCTCAGTCAGCTCCCAGGACTGGTGCCACACTTGTCCTGCCCTAGTTACACTACTAGATAGACTTTTACTGTGTCCACACTGGGGGCCTTTTTGCAGTTCTGTTATACTTTTTGCATGTGTATGTTAAATCTACGTGGATAGATTGTGTGGAAAAATGAGGAGGGGGATAAAATTTGGCACGTCCTTTTTTGTGTGTCTCTTCTTTTCCCTATAGTAAACTCTTGTATCATCATGGAAAACCCAAGACTCACTGGATGGAAAAACAACCATTACAATCTAATATAGTACTACTTCCTTGCAAGTACTGGCCAGTGGCTTGGCTATAAGGTGGCATTTTAATTAGCTTTGCAAAGAGGTGAGCATAGAGAAGAGAAACATGAGTCCAGAATTATTTCGTATTTTCTTCTATGTTCATTGCCAGACTCAAGGAATTAGGACTTATACAGTGCTTCTTCCATAAACAAACAAAAAACCTAGGTATTGATTCACATATTTGTCCATTGTTTATTTAATAATAGAGGCTTTGGTATTCCATAATTTTGTTATGACCAACTTGTAAGCTGTGTTCTTCTCTTGTTTTGCAGGTGAAAGGAGAGAAGGTAGTTGGTAAAGAAATGTTTGTGACAGTGGAATTCACCAATCTAGTGAAACAGAAGCTTAAGAATGTGTCCGTACGTCTTGATGGACCTGGAATACTGAAGACAGTCCAGAAGACATTCAAGTAGGAAAAATGCAGAAATAATGAAAAGTTTCTCCCCTTCCTATACAGTAGCTTTTTATTACTAGGAATAGTTACTTTGCACTATGTATAGTAAGTCAGGCATATGCTGCTTAGTATAAGGATGTTTGATGGATGGAGGAGGAGTGGTTTTTGACAGATGGAAGAAGTCAAGTTCTCACTGTAGAGTTTTGGCAGCTTGGAAAGGGTGTGGGAGAAATTGGTGTTGTTTGTGGGAAGTTGTTAAATCTGTTATTAATTGCTATTGTATTATGTTATTTTTGTTGTATTTATGGTAGTAGCTAGAAGTGCCAGCCAAAGTATTCAGGGCAGATCTGATCTGTACATCAGCTACATTTTGTCTATTACCCTGTTTGTGGTAAAAGTATAATCCAGCCCTGCATAGTTGTTGGGGTGGGGGGGAGGAGCTGGGGGGAGGCACTGGGGGATTTTTTTCTCCAACCATCAACCATAAGGGCTACATTTTTATTGGATGTTTAAATATCTAAAAATTGTGATAGACACTGGTAGGTATTTCAGAAAAGGCTTGGAGAGTACTACAAGGGGCCTATCTGAATGGTGTCTTAATACCTAAAAATCTGGCCCCGATGCTGAAACAGCAGAGTATTAAGGGGATGTCAGCAGTGGACTGCTAATCTCCCAGTACAGACAAGATCTTATCAAGGCCAAGAAAGAGATATGCTTTGCCACTCAATTCATGCAGGGAGCAGTTCAGCCCAGAGGCCATTGCTTCCCAACCATTAGGTCTAGTTTTCCACTTTGCATATGATGTGGTGGAACCATGTGTAGATCTGCATTGCAATCACCCCATTTGCAGCTCTTCTACACGTTACCTACCCAAGCTCGCTAGCTCAGGGATGGAGAAGAGTGTTGCTGTGCCAGCAAGGAACTGAGTTTGGGCCAGCCACAATGGATTCCAGGAGGGCTTTTCAGCCTCTTCGAATTTACTAATGCTTTGGCTACAATGGTGCCTGAACTAGGTAGTTTAAAGCTGGCTTACTCTGTTTATACAAGCTGCAGTCATTGTGTAGGTCTATGTTCTTCACATCATAGAAAAGTAGGGCTTGAAGTAGCCTCTGGAAGACATCTAGTCCAACCCTCTGCCTGAGGCAGGATTGTCTCTATCCAAATCACCCCATACAAGTCCTAACCTATTTTTAAGACCGCACAATCAACCCTGTCACACAGCCCAAAGATACCAAAAACACCCTAACCTGCCACAGGTAAAGCAGGGGGACAAGGGCTGTCATATGTCTCACTGATGCAAGGGTTCACCCACATACACTATCATAAAGGTCTTTATTGCAGCATGCAGGTACAAAATCTGCTGTGGACAGGGAATACCATGTATGGGAATTCAGAAGTTGAATGGAAGCCCAGTCTCTTGAAAAACTGGCTATAACTCAGCAGGAACACAAATGGCAATATAATTGGCACATCAGGGACCTGATGCTGATCATTCTTGAACCAGCATAAGAAATATCTGACCAGGGCTGAGCTGTTTAGAAAATGAGTGTTAAAGGGCACTGTGCTACTCTTACATGTTGCTCCCAGTACGTACCATAGATTGACATTGCTGCCAAATTTGGCTCAACTTTTTCCCCAAGAGGTTAGACAAGTTCTGATAATGGCCTCTAGTGCTAATAAATAATGCTAGGCCCACCTCTTCTTTGGCAGTCTTTTTATTCCAAGAAGCTGTTGTTGACTTCTTGTACCTCAAGGTAGCGAGAGTTGCCAGTGCAACAAAGAAATAGGGATCACTGAGAAACATAACACATCATGTGGATACATCGCTTTTTTTCCAGGTACCAGGTTTTTCCCTTTTAAGATGAAATCTTTGGGGTTATCTGAAATGGAAATTACTGGCTTAGTCATGTTCAGTTTTTGTTGCAACTTTTCTCAGATTAATAAATGCTGAAGGTTACACACACTGAGGACAAACAAGGCGTAGTTGTACTCTATTTAAATAATAATCGCATTTGCCTGTGTGCATTCAAAGTGATAAATGGCTACTGGGTGGTGATGGCTCAGCACATTACTAAGAATCATTCATCACTTAGTTCACTCCCAGGCAAATACGATCAGAGGAGTTTTACTCCATTTGCAAAAAACCCCCTAAAAAGGATGCTGTTTTCCACTGTGCCATTGTTTTCTTTTGTGACCAGCACAGGCCCATCACATGTGAGAGAGTTCCCTTCCATCTTTCATAATGGTTTGTTATTGTTTCAGGAGGGTGAGGATGTAGAAATGCTTTGTATTAATATAATGATAACTTCAATAGATGGCCTGACTCAGATTACCCAAATAAGCAGGGTGGTCCAGAGGCAGAGATCTGGATCTGGGAGTCAGGAGACCCAGGTGCTATTCCTGTCTCTGCCATTGACTTGCTAGGGCAAGTCATGTAAAGCTGTTTAACATTTAGCACCAGTCTGAGTAGAGAAAGCATCATTTGTGTATTAGCTTTGGCTATTGCAATTACTGCACTGGGAAATTGCCTGCGCCCACCTACCAGATAACAATAGGCAGTACAATTGGCCCAGCTTGTACCAGTTAAATCCATGGAGAAAGCTAGCGTGTGGAAGAATGAATTTTAGGATAGTGACATACTCAGAAATATGAATTACATTTATACTAAGCTCCTGCATACAACAAGCCCTTTTTAACATTAGAAGATCATCTCCATAAATATGGCCAAGACTTCAGCTGGTATGGATAGCTGTAGCCCCATTGACTTCATTGGAGCTTTGGGTAGTATTTTCAAAAGCACCTTAGTGAATTAGGTTCATCTGTCCCACTCAAAGTCAATGAGATCTAGGCTCCATTTATTTATTTTTCACTCTTAACCTGTGACCATTTCTACCAGTGGGAGATGTGCCCCATCAGGTATCAGAATGTACAATTTGGAGCACTGCTACTAAATGAGTTATGCTACCTTTGTTGCTTTCTAGACTGCAGGTTTTTCCTGAACAGTAGTCTAAACTGAGAAAATGGAATTTAGCTGGCAGTGGGCATGTCTACACGTGCATTAATGTGGTGTAGGTACTGCACACTGTAGTACCTGTAATAACAGGTACTAACTGAATCGCACACCATTTCAGTGTTGCTAATGCACAGTAGACTAATTCTACTGTGCATTAGCACAGTAGTACAGCTTTTGCTGTGACATGCTAATGCACAGTAGAATTAGTCTACTGCACATTCAGCTTCTCATGAAGACATACCCAGAGTCATCTAAAACCACTTAGCTACCATCTTAGATCTGTACTGATGGAGAATTTCAGCTATAGAAGGAAAAGCTGCACATCTTTCATCAAGAGAAAAAATAGAAGAGGAAAAGATATACTAAGAACAGTCTGCCAATTTTCTCTTCAAAACAGTGAGCTGTTTGTTTACAGGATCTATGCATTTAAATTACTCCTGGGCATTTTTGTGATGATACTGATTTACTCAAGCAATCCCCACCATAGCCTTGACTCTTACCTACATTGAACCTGGTATAGTCAATGATGTGTGCAAAGTGAGTGTCAAATCTGACCTGAAATTCTGCTCTAGATTATGCTTTTGGGAGTGCATTAGAGCTATTGGGCACCCATGTTTTTCAGGTGCTTACACAACAAAGGATCAGGTCCTACATCACTGTCCCCTCACAATCCAGAAGTGAGCAGTTCATAATCCTCTTGCTTAATGTGAGCAAAAACAGCATTCATTTTTATAAATACCTAGCTTATGTATCGCATGCTGCACTGGTTCCATTAAACAGGCTGCGTTCTGACATTCCCCTGAACACTGTCAGTCAATGCTGGTTATCAAAATCTGTACACAAAACTGTGAGAAGGTTGTGGAGCTGCCTTCAAAACAACATTACAACCAATATGTGAGGCTCTCTGTGTGACTTAAATATTAGCATTAAATTGAAAATCAAGAACAGTACAGAGTGAAGTTTGTTCGTACTATGAGCAATCAGGAGTCATACATAATGTAAGAGCGCATCTGCTAACAGCAGGATTCATAAGAACACTTCAGCTTGCTCTTCTGGACAGGAAGAAGTCATTTTTAAACTGGACCACGATGAAATCCACTTTGGCCATAAGTATTCACTGGAAGAGTGTGTCAGTTACCCATCACTTGCTCTGCTTAGCATTGGACAACTCTAATTTTTTACTTAAAGAATCATTTGTGATTCACGTAAACACATGAATTTGTGCTTTCAGTATATTATTTAATTATGCTGTTCTCCATGTCCTTAAAAAACCCACACAACTCCACAGACAGCAAAAACC